TTGAAGATACAATTGATCCTGGGAATGACATCGCCAACGGGATGGAGGACGAAGATGATCTCGTGGATTAAAATTACATACAATTTTGGTAATGTGTTGGAGTGAAAAATTAATTTTGCTTTACATCTCTTCTTTTTTGTGTCCTTTGGAAATTTATATCTGTTCTAAATTTGTACATTTATGTGATGACGGTGCGGCATGGTTTATATTCAAAATTGTATGTCTGACTCGAAAACCAATTCTTCTGATCCTCATACATCTATCCGAATCCGGATAAAGTCATATCACTGTGCGACTCGTATTACGCTGGAAGGAAACATTTGTGCGTCCCCCCCTTACGTAGTTCCTCTGCTTGACTGTGGCTCGAATCAGAAAGTGGGCCGTCGCCGATATCCTCCACTACTAGACCCGATGCCACCTACATTCGCCGAAGACAACACGCGCATTCGACGCCCCACCAAGTTGCACGAGCGGAGCCCCTGGCTTGGACAATCGCCGCTCCGCCATTCATCATGTATCCAAGTCGGATGCCTTGCTCTTTGGAACCGAGGTTCCAAAAACATTGACATGAACACGTGTTCTCGAACTGCACTCAAAGTGCAACAGATTCGAACTACTGCATTAAACTATACTCAGAAATCTTGAACAAATGCATCACCGCCAATCGTTCGGGCGAGGCCCTGCGCCAAGGTAAGCAAGTCCACAACTGACTGTGAAGCAAGTCGACGACTTGTCATGTTATCTAGGTACAATATCAACGATTTGTTGCTCTACTTGGCACAATGTCCACGACTTTTTTACCAGGTGCAATAGCCGAGGCTTGATTTCCCTGGCGCAGGGCCTCGCCCGAACGACAGGCGGTGATGCATTTGTTCAAGATTCCTGAGTATAGTTTAATGCTGTAGTTCGAATCTGTTGCACTGTGTGTGCAGTTCGAGAACACGTGTTCATGTCAATGTTTTTGGAACCTCGGTTCCAAAGAGGAAGGCATCCGACTTGGATACATGATGGATGGCGGAGCGGCGATTGTCCAAGCCAGGGGCTCCGCTCGTGCAACTTGGTGGGGCGTCGAAAGCGCGTGTTGTCTTTGGCGCATGTACGTGACATCGGGTCCAGTGACTCGAGCCAAAGTCAAGCAGAGGAACTACGTAAGGGGGGGACGCACGAATGTTTCCTATACATACTTCGTGCTGAAACACGGCGCACCCGTCGAACGGACGTGACCCCATGTCACACGACAGAGGACGGCACCAGGATGTGCAATTATTGTGGCATGGTTGGCGGTGGTCCACGTTAGCATTTGGTATGGTTGTTTTATTGTTTTATCCCTCATAGCGTCGTGCATTTGACCGGAAAGTTTTCCATTTCTTAGGCAGGAGAATGACGGAGGCGTCCTCTCGACGCCAGATAGCCGCAACGCGCACCCACATAGCAAAGATCCTTCTCACGTGGAATCCAGGTTCCGAAACGTGAAATCTTTCGGCGAAATAGCTCAAACCGCTCGTCGCGAGCTAATGCTGAAACGAACCCCAATCTCGTCCAAACCGTATAAAGTATGGACAAACGAAGGAGGCATATTTTGACAAGGTAACTCGACCAGGCACGTTGTCCGAATTCGCAGGCCACGGTTTGTCTAGGATCCAAAGTGGCTCCCACCAACCAATATCCATCCCACATCCCCAGATTCGACAGTACTTGATCGTTCTATACCATCGTATCTTCAACATTGCGACGACAGACAGGAATCAAGGAAAACAGAGCGGCCAGCAACCCGCCAAGTCTTGTCCACGGCTCATAATTCGAATTGCCTGGTCGAGCTCACAACTCCAATGATCAACAAGTTCTTCCTCCGCGGCCTCGGGTTCTTCAACGACGCGTACGACTTGTCCGTGATCAACATTATCAACGTGATCCTGGAGCACCAGTACACGACCAAGGTGTACGACGCCCGCATGAAGTCGAACGTGTCGGCGGCGGCGTTGATCGGGGCGGTGCTGGGCCAGCTGGCGTTTGGGTTCTTGGGGGACGTGTACGGCCGCAAGAAGTGCATGATTGCAACGTGTGCGTTGCTGATCGTGGGTGGCATCATGTGTGCGGCGGCGTACGGCGGGTCGGCGGTGAACACGCTGTGGTTCTTGGTGATTGCGCGCGGTCTGCTGGGGTTCGGCATCGGCGGCGAGTACCCTTTGGCAGCCGCGTCGTCGTCGGAAGATGCGACGTCTCCCCAGGACCGCAACCGGCGCGTGGCGCTGACGTTTTCGTTGCAGGGGGTGGGTTTCGCGGCGGCGTCCCTCATGGGGCTGCTCATGGTGAACGTCCTGCAGGACAACGCGCACGACCTGGAAGTGATGTGGCGCATCTTGTTTGGTTTCGGCGTGTTGCCCGCCCTGTTCCTCGTGTACTTTCGCATCACGGCGGAAGAAACGGAGGGGTACAAGAACATGCTGGCTGGCGACGTGCACGTGGCCAAGGTGCGGTGGTCGTTCATCCTGCGTCACTACGGCAAGAGTTTGTTGGGGACGGCCGGCACGTGGTTCTTGTTTGACATTGTGTTTTACGCGCAAAACCTGTTCAGCGCCAGCATCCTGTCGGTGGTTGGCGCCAAGAGCGACCTCAAGACGATCGCGCTGCAAAACTTGCTGATCGCGCTGGTGGCGCTGCCGGGGTACTACACGGCCGTGTGCTTCATCAACAAGATGGGCCGCAAGCTGATCCAGCTGCAGGGGCTGGTCGTCATGACCATCATCTTCCTCGTGCTCGCGATCTGGTGGGAAGACATCAAGCAGACGGCGTGGCTGTTTGTGATTCTGTTTGGCTTGACTCTGT